AAAACGGGTGACACCTGTAGCTCAGTGTGTAGGGCACCAGCCTCATATACTGAGGGTGGCGGATGCAAACCCAGTCCCAGTCAAACTGCAACAAAAAAATACCTGGGCGTGTGGCAGGCGCCTGTAGTCCCAGCTACTTGGGAGGCTGAGGCAAGCGAATTGCCTAAACCCAGGAGGTGGAGGTTGCTGTGAGCTGTATGACGCCATGGTACTCTACCGAGGGCGACAAAGTTAAAAAAAAAAAAAAAAAAAAAAGAAAGGAAGAAAACCCTAAACAAAGCCAAATAAACAAAAAGCAGGGAGCCACCACCCACACTCTTGTGGACTCCAGGACTCCAGGCTCAGCACACACATGTGGGGCGAAAGATAGCTCCACACACCAACAGGAAAAGGACTGTTTTGTAGATGACGTTGGGGAAATGACTTAACTTTGAGACAAAAATAAAACAGAATTTTTACTTACATTCCAACTCAAATGTGAAGCTGTGGTATAAATGGAAAAGATAAAATGTAGGCTATATCAACGACCTTGGTGTAGTGAAGTACATTTCTTTGAGACAGCCTCACTCTAGGGCCCAGGCTGGGCAACAGAGCTCACAGCCTTGAGCGAAGGACTCAAGTCCTCACCACACAGCAGAAATATTGTGCCGTGCTAGCTTACAGCACCCCACAAAACTGTTACCACCCAAATTAAGTAGTTACCAAGATAACCACCCAGCCAGGAAAGTGCCCAGTGCTCTCTTAGGAGGGCCTCATCATTTTCCTGCCGTGAGATGGCAGCTCAGGCTGGCCCTGACTGTTTTAGAGCTGCCTTGGTGTCCTTCAGTCCTCTGGGGCTGACTGTAATACTAAAATCCACCCCCCACCCTTGCCTGGTAGAGAACTGTAATGCCAACACAACATGGGTTTTATGACCGGGCACAATGGCGGTACCATGCACCAGTGATGTGTTTTGCTGTGAGCAAGCAAAGATAGGATATCAAAGCTTTGCTGTCACTTGACTGGGAAGGGATTTTAGGCAACACCACAGTGGGGGTAGACACAGATTTTACAAGAGCCAGTGAAGAATCCTGTGCAACCCAGGAACAAGCGCCCTTGTAATTAACTTCCAACAAACTCATCTAACTTGCCAAGCTAGATTTGTCAGTCATTCATTGGCCTCTCAACTCCCTCTCACTTTGGGAGGTAGTTTTTCTATACTGTCCTGGGATTTTTCCCCCAAACAAACCTCAAACTCCTGGGCTCAAGTGAAGCAATCCTCCTGCCTGGGCCTCTATGAAGATAGAACTACAGGTACCACCACACACAGAAGTTTGGGTTTTTTTTTTTTTTTTGCAGTTTTGGCCGGGGATGGGTTTGAACCCACCACCTTCGGTATATGGGGCCAGCACCCTACTCCTTGAGGCACAGGTGCCACCCAAGTTTGGGGTTTTTTAAAGAATTTTTTGTAGAAACAGGGTCTCGAACTCCTAGCCTTAAGTGGTCTTCCTTCTTTGGCCTCCCAAAGTGCTGGGACTATATTCATGATATATATATATTATATTCATTATATATATTATGCCTGGCCAGGAAAAAACTTTCATTTATTTTTTTTAGCAGACCCAGGCTGGGTTCGAACCCACCAGCCCTGGTACACGTGGCTGGCGCCCTACCCAATGAACTATGGGCCTTGCCAGGAAAAACTTTTTTTTTTAAAATCCCTCCCTTTAATGTTAATGTATTTTTACGGTTTTTCTTTTCTTTTTTTTTGGCCGGGGGTGGGTTTGAACCTGCCACCTCTGGCATGTGGGGCCAGCACCCTACTCCTTTGAGCCACAGGCACTGCCCGGAAAAACTTTTAAATAAAATTTCAAAGGCACAATCCACAAGGGAAAAAACTGAAGAATTTAATGACATTATAATATGACCTAACAAAAAAAATTTTTTTTTTCTTTCAGACAATCTCACTTGGTCACCCTTGCACCCAGCACTCTACTGCTGTGGTCTCTTAGCTCACAATAACCTCAAACTCTTGGGTTCAAGTGATCCTCTTGCCTCAGCTCCTCAAGTAGCTGGGAGGATAGGCACCTGCCATGACACCCAGCTATTTCTTAGAGATGGGTTCTCACTATGGCTCAGGCTAGTCTCCAACCTGTGAGCTCAGGCAATCCACCCACCTCAGCCTCCCAAGTGCTGGGATTACAAGCGTGAGCCACCAGCCCTGACCTAATAAAATTAATAAACACAAGAGAAGGGGAAGGGAAAGGGGGTATTTATAATGTATAAAACCTACGTGGCATTATCATATTTGATTTTATTCCAAGACAGATTTTTATGAAACACTTTTACACCTTTAAAGGAGACACCTCTGAGAACTGTTGTCACCATTCAGTGGCAGCTGTGACGAACTACCATTGCCCTGCACAAGCGAGCCTACCACAGCTGCTGCAAGTGAACCCTCAGCACCATCCCAACATACATGCTGAGTCTAACTGCCCTTTACACTGTCTTCAAAAAGGTAATCTGTAACTTGACACTGAAAGCACTTAATGAACAAACAGAAGTAGACAAAAAGAGAAGCAGGTATACCTTTGAGACTGAAGACACAAATTGTTGCTGGAAGAACAGCTGCAGTTCTAGTCACTGGCAAACTAGCAACTGTATGAGCACAAGGCTGGAGAAAGATGGACAGGCCCTGCGCATGATGCCGTGTGGTCTGCCCCTCAGTGCCACCCAGAAGGAATGGCTGCTTGATACCAGGTAAGAAAGTTCAAGCATCAAGCTCACTGGATGGAACAAAACCCCAACAGCATTTCAGATAGGTTGCATCACCCCTTGGTGGCCAACCTCACGTGGGAAGCACAGACACTGGTAACCAAGCCAAAGCGATTCACTACAAGATACAAGACCTGAGGCATGTTAGGAGTACCCTGGCCAATTAATTCTATGTGGTTTTTTCTTTCTGCTTCAGTGATACATGATGAGATGGATGTAAACAATTCTAAGAGAACTATATATATATATGTGTGTGTGTATATATATATATGTGTGTGTGTGTGTATATATATATATATTTATGAGACCAAGTCTTACTCTGTCGCCCTGGGTAGAGGTTGTAGCATCACAAGCATCACAGTTCACAGCAACCTCAAACTCTTGGGCTCGTGACCCTCTTGCCTCAGCCTCCCAAGTAGCTGGGACTATAGGCACCTGCCACAATGCCGGACTGTTTTTAGAGACGAGGTCTTGCTCTTGCTCAGGCTGGTCTCCAACTCCTGAGCTCAGGTAATCCACCTGCCTCAGCCTCCCTCAGTGCTAATCCCTCAGTGCTAGGATTAGAGGCTTGAGCCTTATAAACCACACCAGGCCTGAAAAGTGTTTATAACATAAATTGAGGTGATAAGAAAGAGGTGTTGTAGTATAATCAGCAGCATTCTACCTTTGTTAAAATAAAGCCCAAGTACCTAAGATGTGTTGTACAATGTAATAGCATCTTAGATTTTATGCAGTCTAACGTAAGAAATAACAAACACCTTCAAATCATCAAGGAGTAACAACTCCAGTAGAGACTGGGCAAAGCCCAGAGCAGAAGAATGAGGGTATGACAAGTTGCCCAAGCTTTGCAGAAGTGAGAGAAATGTCACTCAGACCACGGTAGCTCTCACTGCACACTTCTTTGACTGGCAAAACATGACTAGGCTGCACTTTGCCAGACTGGCCAGGGCAGAGGGTGCAGGCCAGGTTCAGCACCCCAGTAAGTACCTGTCCTACTCTTGTCCCAGGTGCTCTCAAGCACTTACATGGCAATGTAGATAGCATAGGCCAATGAGCAGATGGTTTGGTGACAAGCAAGAAGCACAGGGAGGGGCATGTTAGGCACACACCTCCTTTGCAAAGGACCAAACCAACAACAGGACACATTGTGTGAGGACACAAACAAAATGCAAATGTGAAGAATGCTGGAGTAGCCACCTGGTGGTGGGAGGGATGGGAGCACCACACAGTGGTCCTGAGGGCACTGCTACTACCCCTTGCTCTGGCTGTACAACCATTTCCTTAGATCCTCCAAGCCAATAATCTTTTTTTTTTTTTTTTTGGCTGGGGCCAGGTTTGAACCTGGCACCCCTGGTATATGGGGCTGGCACCCCACTCCTTGAGCCACAGGTGCTGCCCAATAATTTCTCTTTTATCTAAGGAATTGGATTCTATTTATCACAAATTAGCTTACTAGCTTATGAAAGAGAGGCTTTATCACCTGCCAGTATTCCACTATCCTGTGGGGGCTGACCCACTTGACACATGCAAAGCCAGAAATCAGCCTGGCACACTCACAGGTCTAGGGCCCATTTATCCCATGGGGGCCTGACCGCTGGCCTCAATATCTCCAGCCTCTGACAGATGCCTGGCTGGGTGGGTACTGACTGAAGACATAAGGGAGGGGGGACACAGGGCACAGCCTCACCTAGTCCAGCTACACTGCTGTGGTTCTCCAGCATCACCTCCCTGTAGAGGGCCCTCTGGCCAGGGTCCAGACACTGCCACTCCTCCCGAGAGAAGTGCACAGCCACATCGCCAAACGTCACCACCTCCTGAAAGGACATACACCAGCACCCCAGGGATCTCTGGGTGCCAGTCCCATTCTGTTCCCACCCCATGGCATATCTCAGGCAGGTGCAATATGGGGCTGAGTATGACAGCAGGGCTCCTCTGGCTCTAAAATCCCGGGGAAGGCCAGCTTGGGTTGAGAAGGAGGGCCCAGTTTCTGGGAACTGTACAACCCTCTCCCATCAAGAGCCTCAGCCAGGCCCTGATTTGGGCAGGGGTTATTTACTCCCCTCCAGAGGAGAGAAAAAGGACCTCCCTGAGCCAGTCAAGGGCCACGGCAAGGGTTAAGGTAGGGTCTGGCCCAAGGGCCAGTGGGCAGGCAGAGGCAGAGTAGAAGATGGAGGCTTCATGGGGCAAGTGAAGGAAGAAACAGTGGCTTCCTACCATGAGGCTCGGTTGGGCATCCACACGTCCTGGCTGAGACACCTGTTGGCAATTATGAAAAGGTCAGGTCAGGATGCTAAAAGCCCCCTCACTTCCCAGTTAATTGGGGGGGGGGGGACAGCATTGAGTTCCTTGTTCCTTTATAAACAACCCCAGACATTACAGAAGGCATGCAGGGCTGGGCTGAAGCAGCCATGGCCCTTCAGTGAAGGTCCCTAAAGCCTAGTTCCTTCAACACATGTGTGTGACATGTGTGAATCACTACACAAACACTTAAGGAGTGGCTGCCACAGGCCAGGTATTAAGAGGACGCAGCAGTGAACACAAAAGAATTCTCCCTTCATGCAGCAGTATAGTAAAGAGTTAAATAACCACACAAATACAACCATGAAGTGCTGAAGAATTTAAAGTAGAAAACTGACCAAGTCTAATAGGTCACTTCCCCAGAGACCTGGCCAAGGTGATGGGTAGTGGGGGATGAACACTCCAAGCAGCAGGAACAAACTGCCACAGTGCCTGAAGCAAACGTGAGTGGGGTTGGATGAGCCAGTGCAGGTGGATCGAAGGCAGCAGGGGAAGGCAGGGAGAGACTGGAGCAGACCGAAGCCAGAACAACGGACTGTAAGGAAAACAGGAGTGGATACAAGAACCCATAACCCCAAGTAGATAAATTCCAGTCTCCAGTCACATCCAGCCACAGCTCACGGCTGTTACCAGGATGGCACCAACACTAAGGATGTAAGCTGATGTTTGTCAATTAGCCAATGACCCCAAGCACTCCCTGGGAGGTCAGAACGGAAAGAGGAGGGCTTCCTAGGGAAACACTTGCCCCAGAAAGTGGTTGGGAGTGGAAGCCCTGGGCTGACTCAAGCAGCAGGGACCACAAGGCGCCTGGACAGGATGCAGCTGCTAGGGTTTGCTGCTGTGTTCCCTGCAGAGAAGGGCAGGCCCTGAGTAGGGGCAGCCAGAATTCAAAAAAGACAAAGGGCCTTCCCCACCCAAGTCACCGCCGTTTTTGCCCGTCTCTAATTCTAGGCCTTCCAGATACAACAGGTGAGGAAAAACGAGAAGGCCCTAGAAGGAGGTGATCACGCAGGAGATCACCGAGTTCCCAGGAACAGGCTTAGGCCTGGAGGGAAGGCCGCAGCTAGGGTTCGTCCTGCTCCGGCCTCTGACACAGGAACCAGCGGGCGACGAGGCTACCATGTGGCCGAGTCTGTAATGAGCTGCAGGACTCGGACAAATGCCCTCCGCTTCTCGGCGACGCTGGTCAAGATTGCCGCTGTTGGCTCGGTGCCTATAGCTCAACCGGCTAAGGCGCCAGCCACGTACACCTAAGGTGGCGGGTTCGAATCCCCAGCCCGGGCCCGCCAAACAACAATGACGGCTGCAACCAAAAAATAGCCGGGCGTTGTGGCGGGCGCCTGTCGTCCCAGCTACTTGGGAGGCGGAGGCAGGAGACTCGCTTGAGCCCAGGAGTTGGAGGTTGCTGTGAGCTGTAATGCCACGGCACTCTGCCCAGGGGGACAGCTTGAGGCTCCGTCTCAAAAAAAAAAAAAAAAAAAAAAAAAAGATTGCCGCTGTTACACCACCTCCCTTGACAGGCTCTCACGGCCGCTCCAAGCCACCTGAGCCATCCGCGAGTCCCCGAGGAGCGGCCCAGGGACGTCAGTGCGGAACGCGGGGGCCTGCAGGCCGCCGCTCCGTCTGAGAATCCCGAGTCCGCGCCCTCCGCGCCGACTCACCCTCCCCTAGGACAGCCAGAGGCTAGAAAACGCGCGACGCTGCCGGAAACCAATTTCGGAGGCCCGCGCCCGCCGCTCCCAGCTGACTTCCGGCCGTCGTGTACAGCTCGGAGGCCTGGCCCTCTCCGTGGTTTTCCAGCTTAGCCTTTCAGGTTCTGGGGAAGGAGCAGCGCCGGAGCGGGAGGCCCGAGACCGAGGAGGTTTGAGTCGGGAGCTGAGCCTGAAGACCCAAATAAGGAGGGCGGGGCCAGCGTCCAAACCCTCGGGCGGGAGCGCAGCGAGGAAGGGGCGGAGCGAGAGAGGAGGGACTTGGGAGGAGCCGGGAAGAGCAGGATGGGGCGGTGGAGAGGAGGCCGGGGCCGACTGGAGTCTCGCCGCCCCTGCGTGGGTGGGAGGAGTGGACCTCCGATGAGGCAGGCGACTATCCCAGCTCCCGGTCACCGAGCGCTGGATCCCAACACTGGCCCTGTCTGGGCCCAGCCCATCAGCTTTTTCACAAGATAAAGTACCTGCTGGACAAGTACCAGGTCCCAGCCCCGCCGAGACACCAGGACTAGGCCGGGCAAGGGTGGGGATAGTGATCAGCTCCGGGCGTCTGGGGACCGCGATGGGTGGGGTCAGCAGGAGAAGCAGCCGCAGAGGCAGGGGGCGAGGGGCGCCGGGTGCGCTCTCAGATCCTTCCCGCTGCACTCCCACCCCTCCGCGCTGGCCGCTTTCCCTGGAGCCCCAAGGTCTGTGTTCTGCCCGGCCTGCTTCTCCTGACCCAGCCCCAGCCCCGCCTCCTAGGGCTCGGCAGCACCCCGAGTCCGGGAGGGGCACATCCAGGAAGTCAGGCAAGGCCTCTCCAGAGCCCACCCTCCTCATCTCTGCCTCGGGTCCCTGTCTGGATCATCTGCGTCTACCTGGCCAGTGGATTTCTCCTACCTCTGGCTTCCAGTTGATTTGGCCCTTGGGGAGCCCTGACAGGAGATTGGAGGGAGGGGAGATAAGCCAGGGCGCTGGTTATCATCTGTACACAGAAACCTGGCAAAAGATCTAGTTCCATGAGAGCACCAGTGCGTAAAACTTGGGAATCAGGCCCTAAAACTTATGGGAAATGTTGACAGCCATGGTTAATGTAAAGGATCTTCTGCAGTAGCCTATGCACACAACATAGGCAGCAATGTCGCCACTCACGGGGGATGAGCACATGGGTAGAGACCCAGGAAGTTCTCTAGATGCCCGTGTGGAGGGATGCAGTGAAATACTGGGTAGATGGGCCAAGTTACATAAAGTAGTGGTGCCCGCAAGAGTCCACCTGGGAAAGAGAACTGTAGCCTGGACGTGTGGGTCTGCTGAGCGCCCTGAAGAGTGTGCAAGCCACAAAAGGGCAGCTGCCTCCTTTCCTCCCCCTTGGAGTCTGCCTCTTTAGAATCATCCCTGAAGGCTCTGTGCCTGTGGCTCAAGTGGCTAAGGCACCAGCCATATACACCTAAGGTGGTGGGTTCGAATCCAGCCCAGGCCTACCAAACAACAATGATGGCTGCAACCAAAAAAAGAAAAAAAATAGCCAGGCGTTGTGGTGGGCACTTGAGAGGTCCCAGCTATTTGGGAGGTGGAGGCAGGAGACTCACTTGAGCCCAGGAGTTGGAGGTTGCTGTGAGCTGTGATGCTACAGCACTCTACCCAGGGGGACAGCTTGAGGCTCTGTCTCTTAAAAAAAAAAATCCTTTCAGATTTTCACTTTGTCACCATTGATAGAGTAGTGTGGCATCACAGCTCACAGCAACCTCCACCTCCTAGGCTTAGGCTATTCTCTTGCCTCAGCCTCCCAAGTAGCTGGGAGTACAGGCGCCTGCCACAACACCCGGCTAACTTTTTGTTGCAGTTTGGCTGGGCTGAGTTTGAACCCACTACCTTCAGTATATGGTGCCAGTGCCCTACTCACTGAGCCATGGGTGCTGCCCAGTCCTGTTTATTCTTAAAAAGAAAACTGATCCTTTGTAAATCCATGCACACTCTGGGCAAACAGCAAATACGTTTAGAATGCAGAGAAAAGATGGAGAATAACTTACTGCCAACTGCTAATGGGTTTGTCTGGGACCAAGTGTGGGGTGAGGGATAGAAGAAGAGGGGCTTTTATTTCCTATGTCAATATTGAGGTTTTATTGTTTTTACTATAAATATTATTTCAGTAACAAAGTACAAGGAAAGTTTCACAAAGTCTTGGAATGGGGACCAGAACAGATAGTTTTGGCTATAGGACAAAGTTTTTTTTTCTTTTTTGTTTTTTTTTGAGACAGAGCCTCAAGCTGTCACCCTGGGTAGAAAGCTGTGGCCTAATAGCTCACAGCAACCTCCAACTCCTGGGCTCAAGTGAGTCTCCTGCCTTCGCCTCCCAAGTAACTGGGATCATAGGTGCCCGCCACAACACCAAGCTATATTTTTTATTTGCAGCCATCATTGTTTGGGGAGCCAGGGCTGGATTCAAACCCACCAGCTCAGGTGTATGTGGCTGGCGCCTTAGCTGCTTGAGCCACAGGCGCTGAGCCAGGAAATTTTTTTTATATCAAATACTTCATAACTAAAAACAAAGACCAGGCGCAGCACCCATACCTCAGTGAGGAGGGCACCAGCCATATACACTGAGGCTGCCAGGTTCGAGCCTAGGCTGGGCCTGCAAAACAATAATGACAACTATAACCAAAAAATAGCCAGGGCTAGGCTTGGCACCTGTAGCTCAAGCGGTTAGGGCGCCAGCCACGTACATCAGAGCTGGCAGGTTCGAATTCTGTCCAGGCCTGCCAAACAACAATGACAACTAAAACCAAAAAATAGCTGGGCATTGTGCTGGGTGCCTGTAGTCCTACCTACTTGGGAAGCTGAGGCAAGAAAACCACTTAAGCCCAAGAGTTTGAGGTTACTGTGAGCTGTGACGCCATGGCACTCTACCCAGGGGACTAGCTTGAGACTCTGTCTCAATAAATAAATAAAAGCAAAGAATCAAGGAAATATTTGTATCAATTCCTCAATTCTGAGATGGAGTTTTTTTTTGCTACTCCCTGCAAAGGGCAAAAACTGACAAAAACCCAACAGCTTATGGTTTGTATCACAATTGAGGAAAGGAATTTGAACCCTAACATACCGAGGTCTTATAAACCCAGGAAAAACGGGTGTAAGAGTTAATAGGTAATTTACTCACCAAAAGACAGAAAAATACAAATTAAAATGAGATTAACAGGGCAGTGCCTGTAGCTCAGTGAGTAGGCTGCCTGCCACATACCACAGGGCTGGTAGGTTTTTTTTTTTTTTTTT